CCTGACCAGGAATCAAACCTGAGACCTTTCGGTTTATGAGAAGATGCTTCAACCAACTGAGCCACTCAGCCAGGGCAGACAATGGCCCACTTTTAAACCACCTGAAACTATGTGTAAAATTAAGCTCCTGGGATGTTCAAATCTTACTTTCCAAACATAGGCTGAAATATAATTTTTCCCAAAATTAATTGTTTCTTTGTAAATGCTTCTTAATTATGTAGTGAAACTTTGTGAAAGTTAATAACATTTCAAATGAGAAGCGGCATAAATGGCATATTTTTGTTACTGAGTTTTTAAATCAAAAGTTGGGACATTTTACAAATGTAATCAGCACAAAGGTAGATTCATGTAGCATCATGGGGAAATAATGAATCACTTTAAAATTCAAAATGCAAGTAAATATTTAGTAACCACTTACATATTTTAAATTCATTGAGTAGTTTGAACAGAGAGAGAAGTAACATAAACCTAACCACACACTAAAATACCAAACAAGAATAATTTGAAAAATGATTAGAATTTTGAAAAATGCTAAATGCAAAAATGCGAACACCATTGCTTTTTCTTTGGCTTAAGTACTATGAGTTTTCATTCATTTTGCCGTGAAGATAGAATAAAATTAGAGAGCTCTAATAACCAAACTAGGACTCAAAAAAAAAAAGAGAGTTCAGGTAAATCATTCCAAATTTATGCCTACGACATCTCAGTCTTAACAGCTGCAAGATTAATATTACTATTTTGCATGTATAAGCTCCTGTCTCCCCAGAGCCCACATGAGTTAACACCAGCCTTAGTGTGTTAGAAATCCCAACAGTGTAAATCTTTTTTTATAACAAGCAACTTTGTAATTTGAAAATTTAAAATAATTGAACTCTTCCACCTGAAGGTGTAACAACTTAATCTTCTTTTCTGTCGTCCACCCAAAGCATTTATCCACATTCTCCCAACTTATTCTCACTACACTTCATAAGAGAAGAGTAAAAAAATCATCAGTTTATACATGAAAAATAAATAAATGAATAGACCAAGCTCAAGTAAACTGTTTGCCCAAGGTTACATTCCAAGCAAGCTGCAGAGTTAGTATTCAAACCTCGGCTTTCTTCCTGAATCCAGTACTTTTTCTCCCCATAGAGTACACAGATACATATTTTTTATCTGATAAAGATGGCACGTTTAGCTATTCTGAGAAAATCCCAATTTCAGAGATATTAAAATATACACCTTAGAATGAATAGAAATCAGTATAACTTTTTATCTGCATGGGGATTTTTACCAAAGCACTCAAAGGTATGGAAAAATACAAAAGAAAAAAAAGTCAATAGAAACAAAAAACATTTAGAAGTCAGAGTGAAAATGAAAAAGAACAAACAACTGAAACTTTTAATATTGCATTTCTAGTTTTAAGAGCATATTTTAACTTATTTTCTGTTCCTTATGTTAATTAAAACCATATATATAACCTACATAGTCTTAACTGCATGGTACCTCAGTAGTGCAATTCCTAAAAGCCTTTTCTCTGCTTAAGAAACACAAGGAGAGATGCTATAAATCTTCACAATTTTATAGATATTGTAATATACATCATTTATGTTGTATTCCCTAAAATTTCTCACAAATCACTAAGTACAATTTTAAGAAGTTGTTTTCACTATTTCTCAAAATATTTTCAATCAAAATTACTTTTAAAATAACAATAAAAATAAAATAAGCCATTTTCCCAAAGTAGTTTTAATTTGTATTTCTATCCAAAACTGTAAAAAAAAAGAGCCATGTTATTTCCACATTTTCCCGACTCAATCATACCTTCACTCCCCCAATTTCTCTAGCCCACGAGACCGACCCCAGATGTTACGTCACCCTGAGGCAGTCCCTCTCCTACACAGCACTGAATTCTCCCACTCCACGAATCTCAACTACATCCTGTCTTCACAGGAGAGGTATTGCCTATGGATTGACATTTGTTTATTCTTTCCCACACTTCTCAGCTAACTGCACCCAGTAGCACATGTTTATTGACTCAGTAAAGCTCTCGAGATTGTATGTAGGAAATACAGTAAATAAAAAGGAGGCTCAATAAAAGCATGTTGTTTTCAAAGCCCAGTTTGGTTCATTGTTGTATTCCTAGACTGAGAACAGTCTTTAGCACATAGTAGGAACTCAAGAAGAAACATTCAGTTTCTTTAAATGTGGGACGTTCTGATGCAAATCATTATCTTTCTTACGACACCTTGAAGGTGCACAATGAAGATTAGCTTCTCCCCCTCTTCCCATACTTATAAACTGTATTCGTTACATTTAAAGTTGCTCAGTACTAAGGATCCTATTCATTAAAGCAACCAAACCATAACAACAACAAAAATCAATTGCACCTTTGTCTAGTGATCAAATGCCCATGACAAGTTTGGGGAACGTTCCTTCCAACCTGTTTTAGTGACATGATTTCTGGACTGATCAGAATGTCTGCTCTAATCTCAGGCTTATTAGCAGACTGCCTGAGTACATGGACAGCTCGGCTGGTGGAGTCAGAGTCCTAAGTTCCTCAAGAAAACGCTTCCACACCAGTGATGACACGGCAGGCCGTGGCCTTTAACCCTGCCACTTCATATGCAATTCTGGTTTTACTAAACACTTTTAGAAATGACTTCAGTCCCAATCCTGCAATTTTGAGCATAATTTTGAAGCACTGACTCAGGTGGGATCAGAACCTACCAAGGGTTCTCCTATTCTTGCCTTAAAACGAAACGTCTCCCAAGCCTTCACCCTCACTCTGCCCCAACCACCTGGCATCTCCCATCTTCAAATATTGAGGGAGAGACCAGAAAAAACGCAGAATCGAAATAATAGCCGTGGCACGTTTTCAGCATCTATTTAAGACCCGGTCCAACTTTTACCTTTTGTTCATCTCTAACTTAAACTGCTGAAATTATTTTAGCTTGTTCACAATGTATAAGAGGTAGACACTAATTCATTTAAAGAAATATCCTTTTGTCTACAAAGTCTAGGATTTAAAAGAGCCAACCATTTTTATAGTCCTATGGATTCCCAATTAATTTTTACTGCATAGCCATTAAATCAATAGAATACACTTTGAAGGTCAATAATTTAAAACAGATATAAAGTCTTAATATGTTATGTTAGAGTCACCTTGCTTTCTTTTATTTATTTAATTATTTATTTATTTTAATATTTTTTAAAGTTTTTTATTGTTGTTCAAGTACAGTTGTAAATACGACTAGAAAGGATATGATTTAAAAACAAGAGAATTAGATTTAAAAAGAACTTACCTCTTTAAAAATATACATATGACACATAAATCTATACAGACACCTCAGTCAAGTAACTATGGAAAGCAGACCTGCCACTGTGGGTAAACGGGCACTATAAGGTTAAGTATCTGTGAACAGGTGACTAAATCACTGAGGGATGGCAAAGGTCAGGGCACAAAATGATCAATCTGAAGTTCTAAGCAGACCACCCATGCTAGTAAAAGAAAACACCTGGAGTATTGGTCAGCATTTACTTAATAAATAATCAATGTGATAAGCATGCTTCAGGTAAGACAAAGGTGGATTTTAATCTGAAACTTGTCATGGATCTCCAATGACAAGCAGCTGTATCACAAGATATCCAGAATTCTTTTCTACAAGTCTACCATTGGTGACCATGTTGATTAGATTCCTAACTACCCAGAAAAGCATACTTTATCACAGCTTCTCTCTTGCCTCAAAGCTTTCCTGTTCACGCACAAAGAACCAGCAATGGTAAACTGACCCAGCCTCCCTGTCTTGTTGGTGACCACAAGGCAGCCTCCCCATTCCAAAGATGTAACCTAAGCTTGCACAGATGGCCCAGCTGACTGCTATTGCAAGGGAGCTGGGTTTGTTTTCCGGGTGGGTACTACAAAGCGCCAGGTGTATTTACAGAAGGAAGCAAGGCTATATGATGCAGGGACCATGGCAGAAGATGCATATTTTTTTCCACTTGGTAGAGAAGTCTGAGGGAAGATCTGGATTCTACGGCCTGGGTTCTACTCCTGACTTGCCAGCTACCAGCTATGTAAACTTATTAAAGACCCATTTTGGTCTGTTATCTTACGGATTCAAACAATGCCCCTTGCCTGGAATGAATGTCAGGATGACTAATGAAAGTCTTGTATGTCAAGCCTGGGACGTGGTAGGCAATATTTAAAGGCAACTTGCTCTCCCATCCTCCTGTTCACCCAGAATTGCGCCTTAAAAATCACATAGAGACTGCAGTGTTAAAACTAAAAGGCACAAGCTGGTTGGCAGGAAAAGAAGTAACTTGGGTGGAGACTTGTGTATTTACTGGAAGATTTCGTTTAAAATGGAGTTAGGATATTGATAAGCGAGGAGACATATGGAAAAAGCATCCAGTATGAGCAAAACTGGACCACCCCCCCCCCCCAAAAGACATCCCTTTATGTAAGCGAGAAACAAACTTCGGAAGCTGCGGATATCCTGTGAACCTCCTCTGTGGCCTCAATTAAAAAAAAACAGGAGCACGTAGAGCTAACCTAGATGCACAGGGTCCACATGCCACCTTGTCAGTTTCAGATTACTCTATTTTGAAAAATTGTCCTCAAATCCGAGGCGGCTGTCCAGCCTTCTCACCCGCCCCAGATGAATTTGGTAGCCAGGAGCGAGTACTAGAGGGGCAGCAAGAGAAAAGTGGGAAGGTCTGGTCAAATAACTGAAAGACAAGGCAGTGGGTGAGGGGGCGGGGTAGAGCAATGTGGCAGAGACCAGGCTAGCGAGCCAGGAAGACAGAGGCTTCACAATAAGGGAAAGGAAGAGACTGCGACAAGCGCCCGCTCCTGGTCGTCGTCTAGGGCTGATGGCGAGGCCTGGGGCGCGCAAAGCGTGGGAAGACGGCAAGGGGGAGCGGGATGAAGAGAGTCGCTGTCCAAGCAGGCAAGCCAAGAAGCACCGGACCGAGCAGGTGCAAAGCCCCCAGACCCGGAACGAGCTTGGGATACTCACAGTGTAGAGCAGGTTGAGCGCGCAAAGGCAGTTCTTGGAACACGCGAAGCCCCCACAAACCATCTTGAAGCCTGTGGTTCCCGGCACTGCAGGTAAATCTGGCTCTGGAGGACGCTCCCGCACAGCCTCTTTGTCTTTGCCTCCGGGGCCTGGCGGAGCCCAAGCAGCAGCGCGGACACCAGTGGAGGGGCCCCGGGCTGGGGTAACTGTGCGCGGCGCGCCCCCGGCGACTCGGACTCGCTCGAGAACCTGCGATCGCCGCAGCTGGAGCCCGAGCCCCGCCCAGCACCCCTGCCTCGCCCCGCCTGCTGATTGGCTGCCAGCAAGGAACAAAGGTAGAAATATGCAAATAAATGCGCTCAGCCAGTCGGGATCCGGGAGGGGCGGGGCAGCCCTAGGGCAAGAGGGAGGAAGCCGCGGGCCGGAGCGTGTGACCCGGTCTCGCAGTGGTTTTCCAGGAAGCAGGTGAGGAGAAGAGGGCGGGGTGCGATGGAGATCCGCGCTGGCAGGGAGAAAACAGGACAGCACCTCGCCGTTCTCGGCCCCGGCAGATGACGTGGCACCATTTTGAATGAGATCTTAAAATAAAGCACCAATCCTTGTTTGAATTAGTAAAGGAAGGAAGGAAGACATAAATGAATCAATGAGTGAATGAATGTCGAAGATTGAAAAGAGCGAGTGAAGTGCAGAAAAAGGAAAGGAAGGTAATTAATGAAACAAGAAAAGGAGAGTATGAAATCTCTGCTTCTCTCAGAAAATAGGAAAGGTAGTTGTGACTCTTGCCAGGCAAGATTTATCCTACAGGGGTTTGCAAAATATTAATAAACTTATGAATGACTGCATGCAAAAGAAAATCAAGAGGTTATTTTTGTCTTCAAATCCTGAATGGCAATTTTTTTCACCAGTAACTGAAAATTCTGTAAATGACACTCTTCACCTCAGCCAATAAATTATCACTTTATTGTCTAGTGTAGAAATGCATCTAGTATCCTCAGATTCCTGACGTATAAAGTGAGTTACTAAAATAATGTCAAGCTTTGCACAGTACCTGGCACAAGGTAAGTGCTCAAATAATGAAGTCTAGTATTAGTAGATCTAACAGTTTTGAATACCTACAATGTTCCAGGCACTAAAATAAACCAGTCTAAGAATTTATGTTGAGTAAAATATATGATAGCAAGTGCTAAATATATGTTAAGTAATAATATAGCAGCTGATTAGAATAATTCATCTCCTTGGAATTCTCTGCTCTCCTTGGAATTCTCTGCTCTCTCTTCTTCTTACCTCTCCAAATCCCACCGCATCAAGAAGGCCCTGTTGATTCTTTAGCTTTTGTGTTCCGCATTAACCTTTTGTATACACCAAGAAGTATTCCAAAAATCTATCTGGGAAATGACCCTCTATCTCAAATAGTACTGTGGTGCTTTGATTTCCATTTTAAAAGCCAAAGGCTTACTGAAGGACTAAGGGGGAGATCTCTTCTTCCTCTTCCCATTTCAGGAGGTCACCAACATTGCTACCACTTCAACATATTCAACCAACTATGGCAACTTCCTTTCTGCCTTCTTCATAATACTCTTAACCATCTCCCTGTGGGTTTAATCTCTTTTTCTCTCAGAGAAATGTCACCTATCAGTCAGGGATCCAGCAGAAAGGAGATGGTCAGCAAATAGCATGATCGAGAAGAGTCTAATAAAGGGGCTCTTCAAAAGTATGAACAAGGTTAAAGGAAGCCAACAACAGATGGTTAAGCTGCTCATACCTAGCAAAAGCAGGTACTTATCATTTCCCTTAAGTCTGAGGGGCAACTTAAGGGAGCAGTCACAGAAGCCAGGACCTTTAGTTGATAGGAGTTGGGCCTCTAATAGAGAAAACAAACTACAACAAATTGGTTGGGGAGGCAGTTGCGACAAACAAATGAACAGAGTGAATTTCTCCTTAGGATTGGGATGTAGAATTTTACAAAGGACCATTTAGTTTCTGCGAACAAGGAGCTAGATATACTACAAAATCATAGGTTTTTTAAAAAAACCTATCAGAGAACTAATGCCCCGAAGACATCTAAAGTAACTAAAACCTGGGAAGTAGTGAGACATTCTTAGGAAGAGAAAGCCCGCAGTTGTTTCATCTCTTGGGGATTAGCTATAGGAGGAAGACTGCCAGAGAAAGAGATAAAAAGAAACTAGTTGACCATTTAACCATCTTTTAATGCCCAAATGTAAACTAATGTGACAGTTTATAATCCAAGTGTTACCAGTCTGATGTTTCAAAAGGCTAAAACTTAAAATGTCAGAGTGTGGAGTAAGGAAAGTTTTATTGATCAAGAAGGCCCTAACTGAGAAGGTAGAAGGAGGCCCTGGTAGTACCTCAAATCCCTCTTAAGAAAGTACAGAGTTTAGGCTTCTTTTATGTCAAAGGAATGGGAGATGGGAGAGGCAAGAGGTGATTGACCATCACAGATATCTGGGGGCCAAGCAAGAATCCTGGGAATATTGTGTTAGATGGTGTGAGTTGGGTCAGGAAATCTTTGCAAATCTTTGATAAACTTTCCTATCTCCACAAGCTGCAGACAGAATTCCTTTAATGATAAGTGAGTCTATATGGAAGACTAAGAAGAAGCAGGATTGAACAATGGAATCAGAGAGACAAAGCATTTTGTTACACAGAGAGCCTCAGCTACAAAGTGAGTCAACAACTACTTGCCAACTCTAACCCATGGGCCTTCACCCAGTATAAGGGTTATAAACCTGAAGGCTCTGATCAGACAAGAGTGTTCCCTCCACAACTGTGTACAGGGCATACAGCCTCTCTCCAAGTACATGACAGTAGCCAAAAGCTGGGTTCAGGGCAGGAAAGATGAGAAAATGCCCTACGAAGCAGCCTGGGACTTTAATCTGGTCTTGACCTAAGGTAGTGGCTGCAAAAGGCTAAGGGAGTTGCTGAAGAGAAAAATTCCTCTACAGCATGCTGTAAGAGCCCTTCAAGGCTGGGGACATACAGCAGGATATGAAGAGATCTCACAGGACAGGACTAAAGCCAAGGACATCAACAGAGATCAAAGACTACTCTCCAATGAACAAGAAGGTAACAATTGGTTTGTAAAGCACAGGTATCTCCCAAGGCTCAAAAAGCTGATGGCTGGGTTACAAAGCACAGAGATTTCTATGCAGACCTCCTTTCTGCAACAGGAAAGTCTTGATAGTGCCCTTAAAATGTTTGAAAACAATGCTGAAATGAAATCCTAACCCAACTCAACTACAGATGGGACTGACTTGGGCACCCACAGTAACAGCCTGACAGAATAAAGGAAGTGTTTATTATTTACTGGGGTAAAAATTCTTTACTTCACTCTCATTTTTTTATACACTATCTGACACACATCCAAAAGCATAAAAGAATTAGAAGATCAAGAAAGAAATACAGTCAAAAGAAAAAATGGACAATAGAAGCAGACCCAGAGATGACCCAAATGTTAGTATTATCAGACAGGTTCTGAAAACTCAACATGATCAATGTGTTAAAGAACTTCATGTAAAACACACAAACGCAGGAGAACTTCAGCAGGAAGATTAGAATTATTGGAAACAATGAAAATGAAATGAGAAATACAATCAGAATAAAATGTGATTTCAACAGTCTGGATGCAACAGAAAATAAATTAAACTTTACAATAGGTCAATAGAAATTACTCAAACTAAAACACAAAGGAAAAAAATAATGAGAAGTGGATAAGAGCATCTGATATCTGTGGGACACAATCAAGTAATGTGTGTGCTTGGAGGTCCAAAAGGAGAAGAGAAAGAAAATGGGGCAGAAGGAATATGCAAAGAAATAATAGTAGAGAATCTTCCAAAGTTAGTAGGAAATAAGAATGGAAGAATGGCCACCTCCACTATTCTCTACTGGTCCAAGGACACTCAAGTTGAGGACACAACCCCACCTCTTGATGGGCAGGTTAAGGCCATACTGCAGAAAGCACATAGGATGGGAAATGCTGTATTTTGGGAAAATAAAACCTATTACAGGTAATGTCCTTTTTTCATACTATGTCTCCATATTGCCCCTTTGCTGAAAAAAAATGCCTTTTTTATGTGAGACAAAGAATAGAACATTGGACTGTGGTTCTTCTCAGAGAGTTACATGGACACTAAGCTATGAGATTGTGTATTTTGTTATGTAGAAGAGGAACTTTTATGTCTGTACAATAAATTTGTCTTTGTCCATAAAATCAATATAATGAATCTTTGCAATTTACTTTTCAAAGTAGGTCTTTCAGCAAATAGTTTTCATGGTTTTTAAATAGGAACAAACTAAATCTAATCCGTTGTACATGTATTTCTTACATTTAATTTACACGTAATTCAGGAGATTGCTACACTCATTTCTCCTTCTTCTTTGTTTACAAAAAAAAATTTTTTTTGAGCCAAGGCAAACAGAATTCTTGTGCACTAGTCCAGGTTCTCCGAGAAGTAGAGAGCAAGACCGGATTAGATGTGTGAGAGGTTTGTAGGGAGAAACATCTCCGTGGGACATTAGGGAAGGAACTGCAGGGGGGCTGGGAGAGCTAAAAGAACACAGTCCAGGTCTGACCTCTGTGACGGGGAGTGGGAAGAAGGACAGGAAAGAGGGAGGAAGACAGGGAGGGAGGAAAAAAGGTCTGAGACCGCAGTGCAGTTTTAAGAAAATTTGGCAAGGCCAACAGGGATTCTGAGCCAAAGTCAGGAATAATATCAGAGAGATGTGAATGCCTCTCTGTAATGAGCCCGCTTTAGTATCCCTGCCGCACTCAGTCACTGGCTGGAACCATCAGTACAAATGCCGACACGGATGTTGGCATGCAACGCTGGGGTGGTTTCAATTATGCTCCTCTCAGAAGCTTGGAGAGCTGCATTTTCTTGAAAAATAATTCTAATGACATTTTTCTTTGTGCCCTAAAATTATTTCTCTAGCCCTGTTGCAAAGCATCCTCCAATTTTTCAGTCTTCATCATTTTGTTGGGAAAGGAAACTCTCTAACCTCATCTGAGTGATCCATTTCAAGTTTTGACAATCTTTATTTAAACACTCTTCATGGCTTAGATTTAGCTTGATATTATCCAAATTTTTTTTAATTCTTTTTTTATCATTCGAGTTTAAGTAATTCAGCACCAGGACTTGATTGTGTTCAATAAGTCCTAAGCAAAATTCCTCCTAAGCCCTCATATAGCACTGTTAACTACCCTACCAGAAGACTTTCTAGATGCCTCAGAAATATAAATGTGAAATTAAATAAACATGAA